TTCTCAAAAACAACGTGCTGGAGGGACAATCTGGGTTGGGTGGGTGGTTTCTTCTTGCGATGTGTAGTTAGGAAAGGAAAGGAAAGTTCTTTCTCGGCATCTTCTTCTCTTAAAATCTGTAGAATCTTAAACTTTTGTCGTACATCTCAGAGTAATCGTTCTGAGAATCTCAGGGTTCGTTTTCTAGAATGTGTAATTAGATCTTCTCTCCTTCTTTTTATTTCTTGTTGTAGTTTATATTGTGTTTGTTATATACCAAATAGATATTATAGGAATAATTTCTTTGAATATTTAGGTTATCTCTTTTCAAGATATGTGATAAAATTTCTTCCTTTTTATTATCTTTTTCTTTTGATAAACACCTGCACTACATGATTCTATCCCCTTGTCTCGAATAGGCTGATCGGACTTTTGTTGTATATCTCGAGATATTTGTTTTGAAAATCTAGTAGTACTTCTTTCAAGATGTGCATTAAAATATATTCCTCTTCATTCCCTTTTCCTTTCAGTATTCACTGTACAATTCTACCTTCTCTCAAACAAATCTATTAAATTTTTGTTGCACATCTTGAGGAGTTCATCCTGAGAATCCAACAGTTCGGTTTTGAAGATATGCAACAAAACTAACTATCCTACCTTCTATTCTCCCTTCCTTTTTCTTAAGTTATCTATAGAACTTTTGTTGCACATCTCAAAGAAGTTCTTCCTGAAGATCTGACAATTCGGTTTTCAAGATATACAACAAAATCTAACTAATCTCCCCTTTCTTAAATCATTTATAAAACTTTTGTTGCACATCTCAAAAGCATTCATCCTAAGAATCCAACAATTCTTCTTTCAAGACGTGCAACAAAACGCAATCAGAAAAAAAGAGATATACCTAGGTTGGTAGTTTTCTCAAGCATCTCCAGTTGACGTAGCCGAAAACCCAAGAATTCCATTTCCTCCTTCTCCTTCTCCCCCTCATCCCGATTTCCATTACTTCTTCTCCTATATATGTTCCTCTCCCCTCTTCCCTCTTCTATCTCACATACACCTCAACTCATCCTCACCCTCACCCTCATCTTCAAACTTATTCTCAAACTCAAATATACCCTCCCTTCTAAATCCCAATTTCTATTTTCCAATCCCCATTTTCCAATCCCCAATCCTCAAACCCAAATACACCCTCCCTTCTAAATCCCAATCCCCATTTTCCAATCCCCAATCCCCAACCCATCCTCCACTTCTCCAATTTCCTATACTCAAATTCAAGCTCAAATTCAAGCTCAAATTCAAGCTTCAAGCTCAAGCTCAATCTTCAACTCTTATATTTTCATTGGATCATTCTTAGCTTAACTCTCATAATCATCACCACCATCAAAGATACATTTATGACAAACTTGTAACTTTAAACTTCAAACTTCAAACTTCAATCTTTATATCTCTCATCATACTCTATACCTTATACTCATCCCATCATATCCCATCCTCGTAAATTATCAATCTCAATCTGATTACTCAATTCTCGCCAGCAATTTTATGACTTTTACACTAATTTACCCATATATCTAACGTCACATTACCCAGCAAAGAAGTCTTTATAAATCATAATGCATGTATGCACACCAATATCCATTATGATTTTCAGAAGTTGTCCAAGTATTTGTATTTGTATTATCCTATCTACGACTAACAAAAAACAACCCCTAGAATAAATCTCTGAAGATCCCACCGCTACCCGTTACCTGAGCGAGAAAAATCCATTTTGTACTTTCTCTACTCACTTCCCTCATCCAAAATGACTTAATCCTTTTTATTAACCAACTTCAACAAAGTTGCGAAATCCGGAGTTCCTAATCCAGTCACTGGATCCCATCCCTTTGTCGCATTCCAACTAGCATATGGTACAAATGGAGCTGGTAAGCCGGAGTACACATCAGTTCCCGTGCATCCGGTGCTGCCTCCGTGAACAATATCGGTAAGCCCTTTCTTACCGATTGAGTAGAGCCAAGGGTTGAGGAAACCGAGTGGTTTGCGACCCGCGTTTAGACGGGCATTGTTGAGGAGGGAGATGATACCTGCGAAAGCTGGGGAGGATGCGCTAGTGGGAGAGGATGTTAGTTGAGATGGAATGTGAGGAGAGGGGAGAAGAAATGAGAAAGATATAAGAAATCAGTCATACCTAGTTCCAGAAAGTAATTGATCTTCTGCAACTCCAGTGATAGAATTAACATCTCTGAGATATAATGTTAGTATGACCTCTCACAAGCACCTTCATATGGAAAGAGAATACTAACACAACATGGAATCTAACACCTTGTGCCGCAACATCTGGGAAACCACGGCCCTTAGGATTGTAAAGACCCTTCCATCTAGAACCCAAAATCTTCAAGTATCCCTTAACAGCATCATCTTGATACGAAGGACGAGGCCATCTATCACTAAAACCGCCAGAGGAGAAAGAAACTGCTGCTTCTGGTTCCACGTATCTAGTTCCTCCTACCGAAGTAACATAAGGACAAGCTGCTGGGAAAATAGGCAAGAATCGTGTCGTATTCTTTCCATCATTAGTTTGGCAAGCCGATCCTACACCGGTATCTCCAGAGGAGAAGAGAATAGATACACCTCTCATACCTAATTGACCGAACATCTTACACACGGTTTTAGAATAAGCTTCTGGAACGGATTGCTCATCTTCTCCGTATGAAGTTGTGATTGTTTGTGGCAATTGGTTGTTTGGGAGACTCAACATATAGTTAAGATAGTCCAAATATGGCTCATTTTGATTGTCGTCTAATGATGGTTGATCGAGATCTGGAACGAGAATTCCTCGACCTCCGGTACTGTAGTAAGTAATATTGGTTTCGAATCCCAAGGCAGCAGCATATTGAATATCTAAATTCGCTTCTCCATCGTCGTTTGTCGAGTTTTGTGTATCTAAGCCTCCATTGATGAGTGCATAGGAGAAGTTTTGGCTAACAGCATATGGAGCATATTTCTCCAAGAAAGCTTCTAAACCATCATACTTTGCCCATTGACCAAGGTATCCAGCGACTCCTAGACGTGACTCGGGATTTGCTTTAGCAGTGTAGTTGCCGATATTGTAAAGATCTCGAAGACATTGAGGAGTAATTGTAACATTGCAAGCAGTAGTATTGAGTGTTGGTAAAGAAAGAGTACCAAAGTCCTCACGGAATACTTGGCTGCGTTGTGCTCTAATTTGACCAAACCTGGTTGTGGGTTGAATCATTGTAATGTGACTCGAGACCTCTTTTGGAATGGAATATCCCAAAGTTCGAATTTGTTTATTGTGCTTTTGATCTTGATGAGCATAGTAATGGAAAGTGGTATTCAACATATCCTCCGCTTGCTTAATTGAAGTACGGAAGTTGATCCATTCTCCATCGTTGTGGATATTTGACTCGGAGATACCAGATTTCTCCAACCATGATAGAACGGCTTGAGTGGTCTGATCAGCTGGCTTGATGAATCGTTTAAGCTCTTCACGCTCAAGATGTTGACCATATTCAACATGATCAGGTGACGAAACGGCATAAAGCTTCTGTTCGAAAAGTTCATGATCTGGCTGCTCCAAAGCAATTCGAAGCTTGATTGTTTTGTATGGGCGAGGTTTCTCGAGTTGAGCCCAACCTTGCGGGATTTCGCGAAGCGATTCCAAGAGCTCCATGGAAGACTCGCATGCAGCAAAGCTACATACTGCCAAACCAGAAACCACGCGAGAGAACTTCATCTTGATCTTGAAAAGCTGGTGTGTTAGTAATATTGTATTCCCCTTTTGGTAATGGTGATCAACTCACGATATTGAGCCCTAGAAAGGACTATGAAGATGTATCAACAAGAGAACACCAGGAAAATCAGAGGTGTCGAAGTTGGACTTGAAAGAAAGGAAGTGAGCAACGAGACGGGAATTGCTTGCCTTTTGTACTCAATCATACTATATTGATCGCCTTCGCCTTCGGCTCAATAGAAGAGGGGAAGATCGTAAAAAGTATTGTTATCTCATTCACCTAATGTAAGCCAAGAAAGATGGGAAGTATATGTTACAAAAGAGGCAGGTGCTATCGGCCGAATCTCTTGGTTAAATGGTGCCATTCGTCGTTCTCAGAGATCCAATTGAGTCTATGATGGTTGGAATTTACTGAATTTCATATCATTAAGGTTAAACTCTATCCTTAAAAGCTGCCCCTTATCAATCTCTCATTGTCGTGGTATCGCTCCCTCCAGAAACATAGGATGAGATTGACATATACTTTGGTTCCTGATCTTGTCCATCTTGTCCATCTTGTCCATCATGCCATTACTTGATCTCAGCTTACCATTCGGCTTGGCCTGCATGTTCGACACGGTTTGGATATACACTTATGCTCATGTCCTGCATTTCACTCGAAATGTAACCGATATGAAGTTGTACAACTTTATCCGTATCCGGATTCGGGTAGTATCCCCGCCTTGTCCCAACAGTGAACGATGCACCGCGCCTTGGTATTTACACACTACCTCACTACTCCTGGAATCGATGCAGGTATCCCACCATTGTGATGGATATTCCATTTACCAGCCTTGGCTGACATTGTGAACATCTCGAATTGATAAGTAATCTTACCATTGATTGGTTTCTTATCTTGCACCTGCATCTGCGGTAAATGAAGGAAAGATATGCGGGAATGTGTCAAAGAGAATGAATGGATGAATGAATGAATGCATGGCCAGCTTCACGATCAATTTGGAGTTGTATTATTTGATGATCAGTGTATAAATGAATGTTGGGACGTGGTGGAAATTATGTACTTCGTAGGTAGAAATGAAGGAGTGATAATCGAAATAAAAGATATCGGCATCGGAGAATCCATTTCGGGTCCCAACGATCGGGTGGCTACAGCTTGATCATCAAATCAAATTCTTCTTCGATTCAAGATATTCATTTGAACACTTTCATATCCAACAAAGAGCCTCAAAAAGTACTCGAGCACATCTAAACAACTTCAATATCTATCAAAATGTCTACAGAACCGATTGCAGTCTTGTTCGTCTGCTTGGGAAACATTTGTCGTTCAACCATGGCGGAGGGAATCTTTCGATCCATGGTTTCCCAGGGTCCTTACGCATCCTTGATATCGAATGTTGATTCATGTGGTACCTTCATTCCGGTTAATATTTCCTTCATATATTTGAGATTAATTTTTGGATGTAGGAACTGCAGCCTATCACACTGGATCTTCCCCAGATTCCCGTACCATGGCTACGCTGAGAGAGAATGGAATTTGTGACTATAAGCACAAGGCTAGAAAGGTAAGCTTTATCTGATACATTCATCACGCTGCTGGTTGAACTTTGTTTATCGACAGCTCGTCTAGGTTTCTATCAATGATTTCAAGAATTTTGATTATATCTTTGCTATGGATAGCAACAATCTTGAAGATCTTCTCTCCTTGAAAAGGAGAACGGAGGGTAAAGCAGAAGTTATGTTATTTGGAGAGTATGCAGGAGGTTCTAGCCCCGAGGAAGTAGATGATCCTTATTATGGTGGGAATGATGGATTCAAGGCTGCTTATGAACAGTGTACGAGGTTTTCCAAGAATTTCTTGAAGTCGACTTTTCCGGATGTTGAGAAATGAAGGGGATTGGATGTTTTGATGCCATGTATATATGGATAGATGTATGGAGAGAAGGATAGAGATCACCATTATGTGAATGCCCATTAGTCCATGTATTAGTGAGGGATGCAAATTGACTTCCTGAGAAGCTTTTCACTATCATGATGACATGCATGGGAAAGTCTTGGTTTCATAATGATTTTTATGTCATTATCAAAATGTCGGTGAGAATATCATGGATTTCCCATGAGAGGATGGGGTTAAGTGTCTGTCAACATATTCTTTCTCTCAAAGAAACCGTGTCAACACGAAAAGCAATCGCCCTCCTTGGGAATCAACAAAGTCTGAAGCATACGAAGTACGAAGTAGAGATACTTTTTAACGTTTTCACATATATGACATGATTACCTATGCGCATAAAGGCTGACAGATATATATTGACACGACCGTTGAAGCAAACTCCCCCACCACGGAATGCCCCACTGGATATTACTCGAATGATGAGCCTCCAAGAAAGCACACATGGACTGAAAGAGTTTACGATGTTACCAAAATGCATTGCCAACATTCAACAGCTGAAGGGAAGCTGCATATACGTTACCTTGATTCGTATTTGCCATCGTCCGAACCACTTACAGCCATGATAGATGATTGAACGCGAATGTTTCGACATCTCAGCCACCATGTCCAAGAACTTGAGAAACCTGAGAAACTCGAGATTTACTCTATATACCTAACCCGTGAATGTATGATGAAGGCGGAGTTAGGTATGAATATAAAGCATGAATGTGACGTCGGGAAATCGGTCAAGTCGATCGATGTCATTTGAATTCATACGGACCCGGTAGATGCTTGAACATTTATACTCAGCCTCAAACGTAGGCTTCCAAACATTGTACCCCAAAAAGCTTCCGGCTCAAAGGATCTCTCTCTCACCCATGGCATGGATCTTTGAAGTACCGATGGTGGCATCTCTTGCATAGCCGCATCTGTGTATTGTCCCCAAAAGGCTGTGTATGAAAGTGTAAATGATGATTGATTGGTTGGAAGGAGAATGGGAAGTTGTGCAGCGGTACCTTGCTATGCGCACGTGGGTGGTTGAATGCATTTGGTTCTAGTGAAGTTTCTATTTTGAGACCACCGGTGGACAATTTTTAGTTCTGACCTACCTGGTAGTTCTTGGAGCGACGTGTTTCCCTAGACTCTTAGTATGTAGGTAGTGCAGCGCTTCGTATGCTGATGATTTGACAAAGAGATCCTTATGAGCCACGATTAAGAACAAGAGGCTTGTCTAATATAGATTTCGCTTTTTTGGTGAGAGAGAGAGGAGAGAGAAGAGAGAAGGGAGAAATGAGAAATGGGAGGTTGGGTGATTTGGAACAATATATGGAAATATACTTGTATGGAAATATATATCAAATAATGTAATTAATTATATTCTTATTAATTATATTCCTATGAAATTCGATACCTTGCTTGATTGTAGATCTTTATCTCTCCAGATCCAAGATAATCAATCATTCATTATCCAATCTTCTCTCTTCTCTCGACTCACGAGCCAACTTACCCAGCGTCATTTCTTCGAGGGGAGGGACATCTGCTCCGTGCTATCCAAAACACCCAGACTCACCCACTATCGATATCTGATGATATGAAACCCGAGAACTGTGAATGTATCACTCCTACCGTCCTACACTCCTACTCGAGGACTAGGTAGATACAAGATAATCACCACCATGCACGAAAGGTACAAGGGATTTTCAAGGATTACTTTGCCTTGGCAACCACTTTCTGATCATCCACTCTGTTTACAATCCCTACCAAATTTCTAACATCCTTTTTAATGCGCGGCCCTCCTCAAGGTGAAACCACCTCTCACAAGCACAAAATTCCATCTTACTCGGTTCAACCAAGCCAAAAAAATATTGGCATCTCTTCTAAACTCTGTCTTCGGTGCTTTCGTATCTTCGTATCCTGACTCTCAGGGCATAAGGAAGGAAAGAATAGGGGCGAAGGAAAAGTTAACTCTAACCCTACGCATCAACATAGTCCATCTGCAACCTTGCACATCTCACTTAGAGGATTGACGGCAAGACATTCCCAACTGAGCTTGAGCCCATCGCAAGGAACCTCATTTTGCTCCCACGCAATCCCCTTCACCCCACAGATCTCATCACAAATAGGACGGTTAATTTGATACATCGATACCATGTCCTATAATCGATTAGGTATGTCCTCCTATCTAATTTCGCACATCTATTCTCCACCTTCCAAGCACACATTATCCGAGTTTCGCGTGGTGACAGCAGTGAATGATTCTCAAGATTGGATTCAAATCGTATTGTTGTCTTGAAGACCATTCACGTCGGCCCGTGTATCCAGTTTTGCGGCGCATAGCAACCAACGCGAAAAGGCACAATCAAGTTGAACTCTGCTGCGCAAGAAGGATTCCTTGATGGAACACTGAATCACTTTAAACATTCAATTTACCTCCTGCTACGGCAGAAACATCATTTCTACTTGTGGAGAGGACTACCTACAAAATACACACTTTTGTTTGTTTACAATAAGCCTTTCTAATATTCAACTTACACAGATCCGACGGGCCAAGGCCAAGACGATTATTACAATATGAATAATAGACATCAGTCGCCGCACCCTCAAGGGTACCAACTAGAAGATGCGCCATATGGAAGACCACATACTACCTCACCCGGTCCTGGAATGCAGAATCTCGAGATACCCATGGGTCCTGGAGCACATAGAGTTGGAACACCAAGTGATCAATTGCAAGCTCAACCATCTGTAAGTACATATTTAAGCGTGCCTTGTGTCTGCAGAGAGATATGATTATAGCTAACATGTATCATACAGTATTCGGTCGAACATTTAGATTCAAACCAATACCATCAGCGCATGCCCCTCAATCCCAGTCAAAGCTACGACTCGGAATATTCTCTAGATCCTAACGCGCATCACGATGCCTACTACCAACCTCCATACCAACCTTCTCCTCATGAAGAACATCCTTTACACAATTACCCCCCAGCCCAAGACCCATATTACAATGACGATGATGACCATCAACCAATTCTACAATCGCATGAGCCTTATGGGCCAGATCCGCACTCAGCTAGTGGCACCGATTACAAAGGTGGTTATGACGGGGCGGGACAATCTCCATCTGCGACACCTGTACCTGCGTTAAGAAGATACAAGACAGTTAAGGAAGTCCAACTGTTCAATGGAAATCTCGTACTTGATTGTCCGATTCCTCCTAAGCTTTTAAATCAAGTTAATCATGCACCACCGCCGGAGAGAGATGAGTTCACACATATGAGATACTCAGCCGCAACATGCGACCCCAGTGAGTTTTTCGAGGAGCGCTTTACATTGCGACAAAAACTCTTTGCAAAGCCTCGGCATACAGAACTCTTCATCGTTGTCACAATGTATAATGAGGATGATGTATTGTTTGCTAGAACAATGCACGGAGTATTCAAAAACATTGAATTTATGTGCACTCGCAAAGATAGTAAAACATGGGGAAAGGATGCTTGGAAGAAGATCGTAGTGTGTGTGGTCAGTGATGGACGTGCTAAGATCAATCCAAGAACAAGAGCTGTTTTGGCTGGTTTGGGAGTTTATCAAGATGGAATTGCAAAGCAACAAGTTAACGGCAAGGATGTGACAGCACATATCTACGAATATACGACTCAAGTCGGAATTGCTTTGAAGAAGGATATTGTTACACTCACACCAAAACAGCAACCCGTTCAATTGCTTTTCTGCTTGAAGGAAAAGAATCAGAAAAAGATCAACTCTCACAGATGGTTCTTCCAAGCCTTTGGTAGAGTACTCGATCCTAACATTTGTGTACTCATCGATGCTGGTACAAAGCCAGGAAAAGACTCAATTTATCATCTGTGGAAAGCTTTTGATTTGGAACCACATTGTGCAGGAGCTTGTGGCGAGATCAAAGCTATGTTGGGTCCAGGAGGAAAGAATTTGCTCAATCCATTGGTTGCCACCCAGAATTTCGAGTACAAAATGAGTAATATCCTGGACAAACCTCTTGAATCGGCATTTGGATTCATTTCGGTGTTACCAGGTGCTTTTTCTGCATATCGATATGTTGCGTTACAGAACGATAAAACTGGAAATGGACCACTGGAAAAGTACTTTGCAGGAGAGAAAATGCACGGAGCAAACGCTGGTATTTTCACTGCCAATATGTACCTTGCCGAAGATCGTATTTTGTGTTTCGAATTGGTATCGAAGAGAAATTGTCACTGGATCTTACAATACGTCAAGTCTGCTACTGGAGAAACCGATGTACCGGATACAATGGCCGAACTAATTTTGCAACGTCGAAGATGGCTTAACGGAAGTTTCTTCGCTGCTATCTATGCTCTTGCTCATTTCTATCAACTTTTCCGAAGTGATCACAGCTTTTTACGAAAAATTATGTTCTTGATTGAATTCACATATCAAACAATTAACATGATCTTCGCTTGGTTCGCTCTTGGTAATTTCTTCTTGGTCTTTCACATCTTGACTACATCTCTCGGAAGTGCTGACTTACTGGGTAATGTTGGTGTGATTCTTGGTGTTGTTTTCGAATGGCTTTACTTGTTTACGCTTTTGACCTGTTTCATTCTGGCGCTGGGAAATCGACCTCAAGGAACGAACAAAGTTTATATGTCTATGGTTTATTTCTGGATCATCATCATGATGTGAGTATTTTCCGCTTTTATCTAATTTTCTCCTACTAACTGGAATAGATACCTAATGTTTGCTTCAATTTTCATCACGGTTAAATCAATTCAAACTCAACTTGCGAAAGATCAATTCAATTGGACGGATATTATCAAGAATCAAATCTTCTATACTCTGATCATTTCTCTCGCCTCGACTTATCTACTCTGGTTCATTTCTTCCTTTTTATTCTTCGATCCATGGCACATGTTCACATCTTTCCTTCAATATCTTCTTCTCACCCCAACATATATCAACATTCT